AGGCTAAATTTCAAAAGGCTATTACCCAGATAATTTGCCTCTTTTTGGATTTAAGAAAAAGACATTAATCCTTGGGTTACCCTATATATTTTATAAACTGAACATCTTTTGTTGCCAGACTAAAGATTTGGCTAGACAATCAATAGAAAGTATTTCGTTTATAACTAGAGAAGCAAAGATTTAAGCCCATTTTGGGCCAGTTACAAAAGGTCAAAGTGACATTCATTTCTTATAAAAGTAACTAATATTAGCATGAATATTTATCAGGTATGTTATTTGCCCCAAATCAATTGTAATGAACTTTCATTTCAGAATACATTCATTGCACTTCAGAATATTTCTAGGATGCCCTTGTAAAGAATCTAATTAAGTGCTGTAATCACAAATAGCACATACAGTACTGAGAGAATTTCCCCTCATGGATATGATGACATATCATATTTCAATGTCCTAAAACCCTTATCTCTGTTCTATTTGAGGCAGCAATGGTAGCAATATGCAAAACATGGTTCAACCACAACTATATTATTATTACCGTTAGCATTTTTATTCCTTACTATGCCCATGAAGTCGATTAAGTATTTTGCATACTAAATATAGTCTTCCCAACAGCCTCATGCAACGGGTGTGATCACCATTTCATGCATAAGGTAACAGAAGTGCAGAACACTTAGCTATAATATTAATTAATGAGCAGTTTGATTTGACAGTCATGCTCTTTCAACTCTACCCTGAAAACAGTCATATGTTAACAACAGTGGCTGGGTTCGAAGTCAGTAAGTCATTCAAGGATAACTAAGAAGTCAAGTTTCATTGCTGGGGCAGCTGAAGGTGGAGGAACGGGGCTTCTGGGAAGGGATTTGCTAAAGGGCTGGGAGCAGTGATGAGTGAATAGGATAGATACAAATGTAGGGATGCAGGGATGCTCAGGAAAGGGTGGGGGCTGGTGGAGGGGCAGATGAGCCAAGGACGACAGGAGGCAGCACCAGAGGCTGCCGTGCAGAGCTCTGGACAGACAGATACACCCAGAGTGCCCAGGTCTGAGCCCTACTCTATGGATGCTTGTTTTCCCTAGGGCATGCCTCAGTTTCTCCAACTTTCAAATGGGCAAAGAGTTTTACTACTTACCTCCTAAGCTTGTTGTGAGGGCTCAGGAGCCATTCAGTAAAGGTTCAACAAGGTCAGCGAAATAAATCAGAGGGTTTGCATTGGAAGTGGAAGGATTGTAAAACATAGTGAAAGAAGCTACACACTGTCTGGGAGATGGAGTGGGTACAGGTGCAATCACTCCTTGAACAAACACAGGTGATCACTTAAAGGCCCTGCTGGGGACTTTGAAGACCACTGCATAAGACATGGCACCTGCTATAGTCTGGATGGTGACTAAGAAACATACACACACTTCCAGGAAAGTTGAAAATAACAGGTAGCAAACAGTGAAGAAAGGAAATACGATCTGGACCCAGACAGCCAGGTGAGGCAAAGCTCCCCAGGTTGGGGCACAGGAAAGCCTTCTGTGAAAGTTAGAGCCTTGGCATTCTGATGAGTGAGATTCTGAAAGGCTCCTTGATCAGGCAGGGCGTCTTTTGTGAGCGTCAGAATCACCTGGGTGAACTAGTGGAAATGGGGGTCCTCAGCCCACCCCAGAGACACAGCAGGCTTGGGGCTGTCCCTGGAAACCACTCTAACAACCACCACAGGTGGTGCTGCTACAGGTCATGGGTGCACCATACCTGGAGAGGATGTGGATAGAACCCAGGTTGGTCTGCACGAAAGCACATGCGTGTTTGAGGGCTGGTGTAGAGACTGTAGGGAGAAGTAGGGGATGGGTCGGGGCAGTGGGCTGGGGCAGAGGATTGGTGCTCTGTTTCCAAAGTGGGGAGGACAAGAAGAAAATGGCAGTAGTGTTAGAAAGCAGAGTGTCTATAGGAAGCTGGAAGTGCTCCAAGTCTGCCCAATGGTCAAGACAGTGGATAGAGGTTTTGGTGGAGATCAAATGTGCAGAGGGGATGGATAAAGTCTTAGGAGAGGTCCCTGACAAAGAGGAGTTGGGGAAAGAATATTACAGTGTCCCACAGAGAGGGACCACAAGCTGGGGCTAGACAATGGAAGGGCTCAAAAGCCAAGGGAGGATTACTGGGCAAAGAAAACGGCCACGCACAGACAGGACGTCACCCAGGACGAATTCTCAGAGAATGTGATTGGACGGGAATTTTGGAATCTGGAAGTGTTTTTTTTTTTTTGGTCATCGAGAGTAGAATTCCTGATGGCACTGGTGAGGCAGGATTGTGGAGGTGTAGAGAGAAAGTAGAAGGTGAAAGGTAAAGGCAGTGGATATAAACTCTTAGTCTATAAAGTGTGGCTGCAGAAAGGAAAAGACCTGGATACTTTTCTTGAAGATCCAGGAGACTGGGTCTGATGGAGGCAGAGTTCGGGTGAGGAAGGACAGGCAGACACGCACCCTGGGCTGTAGAGTAACAGGCTGTAGAGTGACACTGAATGCGGAACAGGTCTTCACCTGGTAGTGCCTCGAAAGATCTCCCACTCCGAGGCCCTGCCAAAGGATTGGTAGTTGGCTGTCCAAGAGCAAAGGGCTGGAGTGGATGTGATCAGGTGAAGTGCTCCTGACGGCCCTCACTAGATGAGCTGGAGAAGCCTCCAAGTCATAGCTGGATAAGGGTGAGGTAAGTGAGGCACTCACCTCAGGGGTGAAACTTCAGAAGGTGCAAAAAGCTCAGCAATCATGAGAAATAATATCCTAGTGCCATATTTTTAAAAACCAAAATCAATGCAGAAAAATTCAAGATGAATTAAAACAATGACATTTTAAATAAAGATACTGCTGTGGACAGGATTGTGTCCTCCCTAAAGTTTATATGTTGAAGTGCTGACCTCCCAGGTGACTGTACTGAAGAGAGGGCTTTGTAAGGAGGTAATTATGGTCAACTAAGACGATAAGGGTGGAGCTCCAATCCAACAGAACTCGTGCCTTCTTTAAAGTGGAAGAGAAACCAGCTTTCTCGCTCTCGCTCTCTCTGTCTCTCTCTCTCTCTCTCTCTCTCTCTCTCTGTCTCTGTCTCTCTCCCCTCCATGGGAGGCCTAAGAGAAGTGAGAAAACTACTGTTTCTAAGACAGAAATCAGCAGACACCTAATTTCCCAGCCTTCAGAACTGTGAGAAATAAATTTCTGTCATTTAAGCCACCCAGCCTGTGGTATTCTGCCTGGCAGGCCAAGCAGACTAAGACAGATAGGTCCTGACAGTGTTGTGCTGAGCATCTTAGAGCGTGAGGCAATGAGAAAAGTGCCTATCTCTATACATGTTTTAATGTTATATTTTTTAAATGGTCAATGTTTTCCAGAACATTAAAGGCATTGGAGAAGCATATATGTGTTTCCATGAAAGCCAGGAAAGCAAAATTGTAATTAGTTCTGGTTTGGATTATAAATATAATATTTAAAAGTAAAAGAATGTTGTACATTTTAATATCTTGATTTTACATTTTTTTCAATTTTTTTTAACACTTTAATGTTCTGGAAAAAACCCTAATCATTAAAAATCTACAGCACCATGCAGAGGATACAGCAGTTTTCCTTTGGTCACAGGCTCCGTGATGGCTTGAGAAGGTGTTGCTCAGAATCCGAAGGCTAGGTTCTTCTGGGGTCTGTTTTATTGTTTGTTTCTTTTATTTTCTTTATTACTGAAGTAATGCATACTCATTAAAAAATAATAATCTGAGGGCAACCACCTGAAGAGGAGAGCCAATGGAATACATATCATTCCAATTAACTGGAAGAACGCTAGGGTTCCCTCTTGAGTCAGACGTCTATCCACATTCTACTCTTTGCCCATGAATGCATGAATGTTAAGCGGGAAACTAGGACACTCTCCTGATATTCCTGGAAGAGGGAGCTCTGTTATGGTGCCTGCTGCCTCTCTCCCCGCTCTCACTCTTCCCATGGGAGGTGGGTATGGGAGAGGGACTCATACACCGTGCTCAGCCCTTCTCTTTGGGAACCTGCCTGTCCACAGAAAGTGTGTTCTGTTTTTCTGTGGTCCGCCCAGCAGAGGGCAGGCTCCACAGCAAAGGCCACTGTCCTGAGGGGAAACCAGGTCTTTTTAACAGGCCCCTACTGATATTCCAACAAGTTACACAAGCATGTCTATGTACATGCTCTCTCTCTCTCTCTCTCTCTCTCTCTCTCTCTCTCTCTCTCTCGCTGTCTCCCTCTCTCTCTCACACACACACACAAACACAAGAAAATCTTGAAAACCTTAGTTGATTGAGGATATTCAGTTTTGCCCAAATGACCTTTTCAATGAAATTTCCATGTGGCCAACTTGTTTTTTGACCACATTATTTTATTTTAATTCATTTTTTAGATGGGGTGTCACTCTGTCACACAGGCTGGAGTGCAGTGGTGCGATCTCAGTTCACTGCAACCTCCACCTCCCGGGCTCAATCATCCTCCCATCTCAGTCTCCCGAGTAACAGGGACCACAGGGGCGTGCTACCACATCTGGCTAAGTTTTTCTGTATTTTTGGTAAAGACGAGGTTTCACTATGTTGTTTAGGTTGGTCTCAAACTCCTGAGCTCAAGAGATCCACCCGCCTCAGCCTCCCAAATTGCTGGGATTACAGACGTGAGCCACCACACACGGCCTTGACTACATTCTTTTAAATCAAAAGACCTGGATCCATCCTTACTGAGTTTCCTTTAAATAACTAGCTTTCATCTTCTACTTCATTGTGTATTTACCTGTATTAACAAGCAGCTACTGATTGGTTTTTCTTCTCCTGTTGGGCAGCAGAAGTTCTGTGAACAGATCCTCTAGCGCTAAGTCTGGAATTTTCATCTTCTCTCATAGGACCTTGACCCTGAGCTTTAGGTTGTACATAATATACAGTTCTTGGGGCATTTCATGGCTCTTTTGGTCCTGGGGTGGTTTGTGGATGGGGCTGAGGCTCACCTGTGCCGTTAAGTGTTCAACACATCTTACCTGGGCGTGCTCCTGGCTGGGCACAGCGCTCAGACCTGTTGCTGCCATGTACGTGCTGCCAATGGTCTTAATCTTTTCAACTCCACTGAATTTTGGCTTGGAAAGAAGCTGTGAAGCAATGACAACCATCTAGTTACTTAGCTGGATGCTGACCTGAAGTTGAGCACTTTACAGAGACATTCTCAAATGCTGGTTCACAGTGATGCTATGACTTGTTTCAACCCCTGTGTATGCACCCTGGGGCCCTGAGCTTTTCCAGGAATGAAAACTTCATGTATTTCATACAGCGCATGTCCTTGGAGGAAAGGACAGCATAATGATTTACTTCCAAGGAACATGATTTACCGTTCAAACTTTGCCGGTGAAGGAACCAAGATGAATTATAATGCAAATGACAACGGGCTTGAAATAAATTTCCTGACTATGCATTTGAAAGGCATAAATTGAAAATTATGATTCGGTGAGTGAGCTCTTTCTTGCATGGTCAGAATGATTTATGATCAATTATTAGTGCTGAGGACTGGCTTTTGCCCTCTGAGTGCTTGAGGTGGATGGAATAAGATCTAGAATGGTTGTTATCAGCCCTAGCCCTAATATATATATTAGGAAGAGAAACCAGCTCGCTCTCTCTCTTTCTCCCCTCCATAGGAGGCCTAAGAGAAGTGAGAAGGCTGCTGTTTGCAAGACAGAAGAGGAGCCATATGATATATATATATATCATATAAATATATATATATTTATATAAGTATATATAAATATATATATTTGAGACGGAGTCTTGCTCTGTCACCCCAGCTGGAGTGCAGTGGTGTGATCATAGCTCAGTGCAGCCTCCATCTTCCAGGCTCAAGTGAACCTCCTGCTTCAGACTCCCAAGTAGCCAAGATCACAGGCATACATTACCATGTGCAGCTAATTAAATTTTTTTTTTTTTTTCAGAGACAGGGTCTCCCTATGCAGCCCAGACTGATCTCAAACTCCTGGGCTCAAGCGATCCTCCCACCTTGGCCTCCTAAAGTGCTGGGATGACAAGCACCAGCCACCACAGCTGGCCTGAGCTCTACTATTTCTTGTCTTGGAATTAGTTATCAGCGTCCCACTTGACTCTTCCTTAATCTGCTGATTTAGGCTTTCAGCTGGGATGGAGGAAAGCTAGGGATAAGAATGGAAGCTGTAGGAAGGAAGAGGAATGGACTTGCGTGTGAAGGACGCCCTGGAAGGTCTGTACCTGCTTGGGAGGGCAGGGTTCAAATGGCGCTGACCAGAGACCAAGAGCGTTTTCTTGCCCCTTCCTTGGAACTCTGGATTTCAGGGAGATTCCTCCAGGATTACATATCAAATAATTTAAGACAGATGAGCAAATCCCTGTATCACCTATCCACATTATCTACTGTCATTCACCCGTTAGTACTGGGGAATGTTTATTTCACCGAGGAGCAGCTGAGACCCCCAGCCGCTGTTTGTCATGACGCACCCAGGACCACAGTGGTAATTGCTGGCGGCCATGACGTTACCATGAATCTCTAGCATCGACCTCACAGTGATGATGGTGGTGAGAGAAAATGCACAGGGCCCACAAGACATTTAGGAGGTTTGCCTGAAACCACCGTGTTATGTAATCTCATCACTGTATTTCAGAATTCCATGAATCATCATTAACATATGCTCCTGGACAGATGTCAATTTTCTTCTATTTTGCAAGATAGTGATAAGAATAGTGTGGCTGCAATATCCTTAAACCAGAGGGGCGTTTGTTCTTACTGGGAAATAGAACACATTATTCTCTATGTAGAAAGTTGAAAAATGACACCTATTTCGAATTCTAAAACAGACACTCTGTCCCTTCTAAAGTATGTTGTATTATCCCCCCATACAGATTGTATTTTCAACAATAAAATGTCATCCATGCATAGTGCAAGTTGATATCTCACAAAGGCATTGAAGTAGGAACAGACATAGCAATAATCTATTATAACTCATTATCTTTTTATGTGGAAAGGGATGGGCAAGTATTTTACCTGGAATTCAAGCCTTAGCAGAGAATACACTAGCACACTGGATACACATTTGATTTAACAGGTTTTGGTGGCTGTTCCTAGCAGTCATACCAGCTTCAAAAATACAACGTATTTGTCTACCTCAAGTTAGTCAGAAACCTAAATAAAGCAAAAGCCTTTAATGCCACCTGCCAGAAATTATGCCAAAGGACAAGTTTTTTGGGATAGGCCGCTATCCCGAAGTAACTTCAAGTGTGCAGGTGTGAGACTGGGGGTACTCCTGCCCTTCAAGGGCAACTCTCAGTACCTACATCATCAAAGTCAGCGATGATCTCGTTCAGGAGCCGAAGGCATTCCAAGCCCTCCTTGTTCACGTCGGATTCTGTATAAAATTCTTTGAAATCCGGAATGGAGGCAAACATGACGCAGACACAGTCATAGGACTGGTGGTATAGATCCTGCTTGGGAGAAAAGCAAGAGCTGATCACTAGGAGACTGACCTTTAAACCCTCCATAGGCAAGTGGCTTGTTTCTGCCAGGATTCACATAGACATCGCCCAAATGCCCACTCCACCTGCCCCACCCCAGCCATGGCCCAATCCACGGGCTGCCACTGCTCGCAGGGGAAAGCTTCAAATGAGCTGGATTCTGGCCACTAGCAGTTAAGAAGAGGTGCCTTGCCAGTTAAACCTCTCTATCATATTGACCTGAGACAATGACAAGAGACCACAGAGTTCTGGCTTAGTAAAAAGTGTCCTTTAAACAACTGAAGGGAAACAAAATAATTTCCCAAACTCTCAGATTGTCCTGAAGTAACTTGTTATGGCTATAGTATTTGGATGGGAGTCTTGATGAATTTTCCTCTTCAGTGTCTCCTGCAAAGAGCATATGGAATTCATCAAGTTAATTCTTATTACACCAGAAAGAACCAATAGAGCGCCTCAGTCTACTTATTCATATTATATTAGACACTGACTATATTTATTCAGGATATTCTTTTGTTTTTAAATAGGAAGAGGCTCATAGTTCTTTATCCATAGACATGAGTTAAATTGCAATGTCTTGTAAACACAATTTCAAGGTGTTTCCATGATTTTCCCAACACAGTGACACCTTCATATTCAATGAAGGTTCCAGAAAGGAAGAGTTGTCAGGTGGTCTTGGGGGCTAGTCCTAGGTGTGGAGGATGTGCCCTTCCACTGGCAAGGGCTCCTCAGACCCCTGAGATGTCCCTGACACAGGCAGACCGGCCGGGGCCACTGTGGACGCAGTGCAGCATGGGAAATGCTTTCTTCTCCAGGAAAGGTGAGGAGAGTTCTGTTAAACAAGATGGCCGACCTCTGAGGGGAGGGAAAAATGCTAGTGGTTGGTACTTCCTGTGTGTCTGGCTGGGCGAGGGAATCCATTCTACATGAACATTATCAGTAAGCCCTGCTCTTTGGGGCACCCAGATGAACTTCTTTGCAGAAAGCAAGCACTTAAATAGTATCATAACTCCAAGGTTTGGTGGCACCTCAGAGGAACTGCTCTTCCCAGTGAGGTCCCATCACAAACCCATCAGAGCCAGGGCAACCCAACTGAAAGCCACAACAGTTTTGAGAAAAAGATGGACTCATGGTTCTCAGGACCAGCCACTCTATAATCCCTACTGCTGCCTCAAAATCTGTACAAAGTACGTGAACAATGAAATCAAGGTTTTCTTTTCTATTTTGTGCTCGATATGATTGTGCTGGTTTCTTGTGCAGAATTGTATTTTCTCTCTCTCTGCAAAGTTGCCTTTGTGAACACTCATATCCTTGGTAGGCAGCCTATGACAGCCAAGGCACAGTGCTGGCAATGCTGACTGCAGTCACGGGGTCAGAGAACAGGGATACATGAGTTTAAAATGTCAGTTTTATAAAAGTGGTATAAACTCCACTGACATCCCTGTGCTTGAGGAAATGGGTGCATCTAGCAAGGGGAGGACATATTTCCTTCCCTTTCTCCCTCCTTTCTTCCTTTCCTCTCCTCTCCTCTCCTTTCCTTTCTTTTTGAGACAAAGTCTCACTCTATTGCCCACGCTAGAGTGGGATGGCGTGATCTTGGCTCACTGCAACCTCCACCTCCCGAGTTCAAGAAATTCTCCTCCCTCAGCCTACTGAGTAGCTGGTATTACAGGTGCACACCACCATGCCCAGCTAATTTTTTTATTTTAGTAGAGACAGGGTTTTATCATGTTGGCCAGGCTGGTCTCAAACTCCTGACCTTGTGATCCACCCACCTCGGCCTCCCAAAGTGCTGGGATTACAGGCGTGAGCCACCACAGCTGGCTGAGGACATATTTTCTATATCCTGCATTTCCCCACTCCCTGCTGACACTGACCAGAGTGCTCTTTGGGGAATGATAATGATGACAAGAATAAGCACGATAATAGCCAGCACTTACTGAACACTCACCACATGGTAGGACGGGCACTTCTCTGAACACTTTATGTGCATGAACTCACCACAATTACAACCCTATGTAGTACCCTACAACTCTAGACTGGTACTAGAGTTTTCCATCTACAAATAAAGAAACTGAGGCACACAGTGGTTACGTTACTTGCCCAAGGCTGGAGTTATCAAGTCTGATAGTAGAATCCACCCTTGTAAATGCTACACTTTATACTTTATCAAGTCTCCGGGATGGTCATGGGCTTCACTGCTTGGTTTGGGGGTAGCACGGGACCTCTGACACTTGTGGGTCCTGTTACTTTACCTTTGTCTTTTCCTCTGGAGTCTTTAAGGGTGTCTGGGAGTTGGAGATAATGATATGCAAGACTAAACTGATGGGCAGTTTGGATCTGACATGTCATTTCATTACACAGCACCAAAGTGGGGATGTATGGGAGAATCTCTAATGGGACTTCCAAGAGGGCAGGTGCCTGCGCCTCCCCACTGACCAATGGACCTTCATCCCCTAGGCTGGGCTCCAAGCACAGGCACTGTTTTGGAAAGTTCCCTGGGTTATTCTGCTGTGTAGCCTTGATTAAGAATGACAGACTACATGAGGAAATGGAGCTCAGGGGAGCTGGGGTTGCCACCAAGGCTCCCAGCTGGCTGAGGGGAAGGGCCAGGACCAATCCCTGCATTCTCTGCAGGCCGTGAATGCTGCTGGGGAGCTTGGACTACAAACGGATCACCCACCTTCTTTGGCAGAGTGGTCACTTGGAAGCTCTGAGGGAATTCCCTGGTCCTCAGATTCAGGGCTTCCATAAGACTATAACTACTGGGAAACCAGGGAAACTTCTAGACTTCTCAAATTCTCTGGAGCCTGAGAAACTTGCAGGGCCAAGAACCATGCCCTGAACTCATGAGAGATTCCCTCCTGTAGTTGCATTGGGCATGGGGCCAAAGAGGATTGCATGCTGACTGGTAGATGACTTGAGCTTGTCTTATACTTCCAGAGGACCTGGGGGTTAGAGTAGGGCAGGTGAGCAGCCTTTGAAGATAATTTGGAATTCAAGGTCTAGAATGGGTGACCCATGTTAGCATGTAGCTACCCAAAAGTATTACTGAGCTTTAGAATTGAAAGTGAGTTTAGATGTCTCCTCAATATTCATTCATCACCATTCTGTTGAACAAGTTCAAGGAATGAAAAAATAATCACAAAGCAACTGTATTTCTGTGGCCACTACCCCTTTCAGTTTTGGAGTGGGGCTAGATCTTCCCCTGTCTTGGACAAACACCTGGGACTACCTCCTGGCCCTCCATGTCACTGTGTGCAATGCAAGGTCCTCTCATCGATCATTAGAGGCCCCAGTCCAAGAAACAGTCAAAACTCTTGCCCTCGTTGTACCTGTGGCTTGTGCCCTTCCCCAGCGTGGGCCTTTTGCGGGTGAAGAAGGGGGATCAGTTGGCTTCTGCTCTCTCTCCACCACTCCTTCTACCTCCACTCTTCCTAACTTGCTAGCTGGGCTTTCCAAACCATCCAGAATGGAGAACAGGAGAAGACAGAAGAGGCTATGAGGCAGGACAGCTTCCTATTAGCTGCATCCCACTCCCTGAATACTCAAACCTGGCTTTCCTCCTGTGGATGTTTTCATGGGTTTTTGGAAGACTCCCTGTCATTTTGCCCATCCCTGGACATCCCCCGACCCTGAGTCTTCCAGGATGGAGGCCATGCACATCACTCCTGCTCCTTGCTACCCTTTCAGGTCTGGACTTTTGGGCTATTTCTTCAAGTTTCTCTGCCAAGGTCCCTTCACCCTCCCTCCTGTCCCCCCAGGCAGCTCTGTAACATTGGATCTAAAACAACCCTACAGCAATTCTCATTTTCTTGTTTCGTCCTTTAGCAACACTCAGCTTTGCTGTGCAAACAACTGACAGTCCAGCCATGTACCAAGTCACAGCTCCCCTACCCTGTGTGCCCAGATGCCCCATCAGCACCTGTGCTCAGCATTTCCAAGTGTCAGAACCTGCCTGCCATCTGTGTACCCCAATTGGAGATGCTTCCCAGAACCACTCAGAGACTGAAGTCATGGGGTGTGTCCAGGCTGAGCAGTGCTGGCCTGTTCACAAGGCTGGAGGTGAGGGGGGATCCCCACCTTCCCCTTTAGGACAGCCTCATCCCCACTACATTCTGTCCAAACCCTCTTTCAATCTTTAGTCTTCTGGCCAATTCATAAGCTCCCTGCATGCCAAGGAAGGCTTTTGTAAGCTCTGCACTCTGCTTGACGCCTCCTTTGGAATAAGAGAGCAAGTGTCTCTTTGTGTCACAGGCTGAAATTCTCTTTGAATTTACACACACGTTACACACACACGTGCCCTCTCAAAGGGCCTGCTGTGTGCCAGGCTTCATATCAGGTGTTAGGGACACAGAGAAAAACAACACAAGCCCTGCCCTTAGGGAGCTTAAAGTCTAGGTGGAGAGACAGAGAAAATCAAGGAAACATAATAAAGCGTAATTGGTGCTGTGGGCCCAGGTGTGGAGGCGTCTGGGGCTGTTCATTGAGGTGGGCACGGGGGATGGAGTGTTCTAGAAAACATTCAAAGCTGCCACTGGCACTCAGGTCTCCCACCTTCCAGACCAGACTGGTGCTTTGTCTCACTGACTGGGGCTGCACAGAGGCTTTGGATCGTCCATGTTTTCCGAGTTGACCTATGGGGAAACCATTAAGCACCTGGTGTCCCCAGCTGTCAGTTAATGCCTAATTTACTCAGGGGAGTCAAATGACTGGAAAGTACAGAAGCGTCTATTGCAACCCCAGGGGCATGCTAGCCTGACCCTCCTGCAGAGGACACTTGGGCATAGAGCTTTAAGCTTAGTGCTGTTGAAGGATCTGCCCAGTCATCACTGGCAGGGCTTTCAACAGCAGAAAGGGAGGTGCTGTTTGCACACGAGGGGCATTTCCCAAATTTTTGTGGTGGCACCCGTGGCTCGTGTGGCTTGTTTTGATCAGGCATTGGCTCTCTCTGAATGAAGCTGTCTGGCTCA